GGCCCGGCCCGGCCCGGAATTTTACAAGTATGGTCAAAACGTGACTAACCCCTTAGGTTCATGCGCTCCACTTACTCCAACCTATTCTTACACTTTAGCACTTTTTTTTGACGAAAAGCGCAAATTTTTGACCTTTTCAGAGCTTCTAAACCTGGAAAAACTGCTTAAAATCACTTAAAACGCCGAAAAACAGCCAAAAATCGGGATTTTTTACCATTTTGAAGTTTTGCGTCCAGATGGCCTAGTGGATTTTTCCACTAATTTTTACCAATCTCAACACCAAAGTTCGATTCCTCTGGGTGTCAAAACTTTTTTGATTTTTGTGTGGACCTCGAAAAACGCCTTTTTAAAGGTTTTGGACATTTGGAAAGCTTTAAAATCGGAAATTTCAAGTTTTAGGTGAAAAAATTTAGAAAAATGGTTTTTAGGCTCTAACTTTTTTCATGATCATCCAATTTCGATGAAATTAGTGTCAATCGATTGGAAATTCAAATTTACATCGAAAACATTTTTAAATGGCTAAAAGTGTTCTAAAATGAAGACATACGGGGACTCAGAAAGCTCAAAATCAGTTGTCACTAATTTTGCCACAGTCAAGTCAATTTTTGAGATCTAACTTTTTTCAAAACACTCGAATTTGGACGATTTTGCTATCAATCGATACAAAATTCAATTTTACGTCTAACAATGCAATATTCAACTTGAAATTTGCAAAAATGCAAAAGTACGGAGACTCGGAAATTTTAGAATCCGGAAATCTTAAAATCTCTCAAATTTTCATATTTTTGAAACGTTCCAAATGCTCAAAACTGATAAAAATACATTTTCTGAGGTCCTCACAAAAATCAAAAAAGTTTTGACACCCAGAGTAATCGAACTTTGGTGTTGAGATTGGTAAAAATTGGGTGGAAAAACCCACTAGGCCATTTGAACACCAAAATTCAAAATGGTCAAAAACAGCCATTTTCGGGGGATTTGAGGGTTTTTAAAGATGTTTTCCATTGTTTTAGGCGTGTTTAACGAATTTTGGAGCTCAAAATTGCTCAGTTTTGGCAGTTTAAGACAATCCATTGGGTCCTGTAATATCTGAAAATATATAAATGTTTGATTAAAAAATTGCCCAATGAGATAATTACACAGAAATTAGTATCATTCTAACGGAAATGAAGTTCTAAATTCGATGAAAATGAATATGATTCGAAATTTGCAAGTGTTGACCTAGAAAACCCCTAAATTGGCTTTTTTCGGAACACATCCCAATAATAAAGTGTCTAGTATGTGTGTCCCCCCAACCAAACCCCGCACTTTTTTGGACACTTTTTCACCCCCATTTCCGGCCATTTTCGATTTTCGGAAACTTTTTTGACACCACATCCCCTTCCCTTTTTTCCCCCCGCTTTTTTCCTCCCCATATACTAATCGCTCTTTTAGTATAAAGACAAGATACCCTTGGGAGATTGCTCATCCTTAAGGAGCACCGGAAACTTCTACACAATCATTGTCTTCTTAGTTTCATCTCCATTATTTATCTTGTAGGGAATTTTACATGTTCTTCTTTTGATACTCAAGAAACACAAGTTTTGAACTTTATTCGACATTTTCAGAATATTTAGAAGCTTGCAAAACTGATTTTGGACTATTTCAATGTTAACATCAAACATTTTTGACATTTTCAGAGCACCTAGACATTTAAAATTTGATTAAGACTGCTTAAAACCTTTTAAAACCCTTTAAAATCACCAAAAATGGTCATTTTCGTCCATTTTGAAGTATGGTGTCCAAATGGCCTAGTGGATTTTTTCACCCAATTTTTACCAATCTCAACACCAAAGTTCGATTCCTCCGGGTGTCAAAACTTTTTTGAATTTTGTGTGGACCTCGAAAAAACGCATTTTTATCTGTTTTGGACTTTTGTAACGATTTAAAATAGGAAACTTTTAGTTTTTATGTTTAAAAAGTCAGAGAAATGTGTTTCGGCTTATTTAGACATTCTTTGGACAGTTTCAGATTGTCTAGATTTTTAAAAACTTCTTCAAAATGCTTGAAATTTTTCAAATCCCTCTAAAACCCTTAAAAACGGTCATTTTCGTCCATTTTGAAGTATGGTGTCCAAATGGCCTAGTGGGTTTTTCCACCCAATTTTTACCAATCTCAACACCAAAGTTCGATTCCTCTGGGTGTCAAAATCTTTTTTATTTTTATGTGGACCTCAGAAAACGCATTTTTATCAGTTTTCGACATCTGGATCACTTTAAAATCGGAAATTTCCAATTTTTAGGTGTCAGAAATTTAGAAAAATGGTTTTTGGACTCTAACTTTTTTCAAAGTGGCTCAATTTTTATGAATTTAATATCAATCGATAGGAAATTTGATTTTACGTCGAACGATGTAAAAAAAATTCAGAAAAAAGACGTACTGGGACAGAGAAACCCTAATATCAGTTGTCACCTAATTTTGACTAGTCAAGTCAATTTTTTGGCTCTAATTTTTACCAAAACACTTTAATTCTAAAGATTTTAATATCAATAGATAGGAAATTTAATTTTACATCGTATGATGCAAAGTCTGGATTGTCTTAAAATGCCAAAACTGAGCAATTTTGAGCTCCAAAATTCGTTAAACACGCCTAAAACAATGGAAAACAACACTCAAATCTCCCGAAAATGGCTGTTTTTGACCATTTTGAAGTATGGTGTCCAAATGGCCTAGTGGATTTTTCCACCCAATTTTTACCAATCTCAACACCAAAGTTCGATTTCTCTGGGCGGCAAAACTTTTTTATTTTTGTATGGACCCCGGAAAACGCATTTTTATAAGTTCTAGACATTAGGAACGATTTTAAATAGGAAATTTTCAGTTTTTTGGTTAAAAAATATTTTTAAAAAAGTTTTTGAGCCCTAACTTTTTTCATTGTTATCCAATTTCGATCAAATTACTAGCAGTCGATAGGAAATTTAATTTTACGTTCAGTGATGCAAAATTCGCAAAATGCAAAAATACGGAGACTTAGAAACTTCATAATCATCGGCAAAAACGATTGTGAGATTTCTAACGTTCGGTATTTTCTCATTTTTTTAAATCTTTTGTAGATATTGTTTATTTGAACGTGAAATTAAATTTCCTACCGATTGGTAGTAGTTTCATCAACATTGGTCCATATTGAAGGAAGTTAGGACTCAAAAACCATTTTTCTGATTTTCTAGGCCTGAAAAATTTGGAATTTCACATTTTAAAAAACGTCGAAAACCTATGAAAATGCGTTTTTTTTGAGGTCCACACAAAAATCAAAAAAGTTTTGACACCCAGAGGAATCGAACTTTGGTGTTGAGATTCGCAAAAATTGGAAAAATCCACTAGGCCATATGGACACCAAAATTCAAAATGGCTAAAAATCGCGTTTTTTGGGCTGTTTTTAGTGGTTTTAAGTGTATTTTTAATGTTTTCCACAAGTTTAAAGAGGTTCGAAACCCAAAATTGCCCGATTTTCGATTCATAAAGCCTTGAAAATTGGGAAAAAAAACTATTTTTTTTAAAGGGAATATTTTAAGGCTTGCAGTCAAAAATGCCCGTTTCAAGCAATTTTATGCTGTTTTTGAACGTCCAACGACTCTGCAAATGGTTAACAATGTCCAGTTTTTTAGGGGTAACGGCTTCCGGCGAGGTGAGGGATGAGTGTAAAGATTAACACAACCAACCACTTAGATTTATTCAATGTAAACTAATTCTCCCCTCGCAGTGAAGGGGTCATAAGTGACACCTGGCTCATTGAGCATCTCTTTGGAGCAAGCATCAAAGGTCTTTCTCTCCTCCCGTAAAACCTTTTAGCACTTTCTATATTCCTCGTGTCTTCCGTTTCGTCTAGGATTTCCCCCCTCTCTTTTTCTCTTTCCCCAACAATTTATCTCATTTTATCACCTTCTTCTCTTTCTTCTTATTGATGACACTTAACAATGCTCATTGTTTTAATTACTTACTTGTGTTCTGAACGGAAATTGGGTTTAGGAATCAAAAACCTTTTTTAACCTAAAAATGTCTTTTTTACTACTTTTTTTGACGTTTTTCGACATTTCCAGTGTACCTAGACGTTCAAAAACAACTTAAAACTGTTTAAAACCGTCTAAAACCCCTTAAACTATCAAAAAATTTCATTTTTCACCATTTTGAATTTTATGTCCAGATGGCCTAGTGGGTTTTTCCACCCAATTTTTACGAATCTCAACACCAAAGTTCGATTCCTCCGGGGGTCGAAACTTCTTTGAATTTTGTGTGGACCTCGAAAAATGCATTTTTATTCGTTTTGGACGTTTGGAACTTATAAAAATTGAAAGTGGTGAAAAAAAACTATTCAAAAATTATTATTACTTTTTTTGCCATTTTTTCAATGTTTTCAGAGTCTCTAGAAGTTTAAAAACTGCTTAAAACCCTTGAAACCTTCTTAAAACCACCGAAAATGGTCATTTTTCATCAGTTTGAAGATTGGTGTCCAGATGGCCTAGTGGGTTTTTCTACCCAATTTTTACCAATCTCAACACCAAAGTTCGATTCCCCTGGGTGTCAAAACTTTCTTGATTTTTGTGTGGACCTCGAAAAACGCATTTTTATCAGTTTTAGACATCTGGATCACTTTAAAATCGGAAATTTCCAATTTTTAGGTGTCAGAAATTTAGAAAAATGGTTTTTGGACTCTAACTTTTTTCAAAGTAGGTCAATTTTGATGAACTTACTACCAATCGATAGGAAATTTAATTTACATAGTTTATAAGTTTTGGTTTGTCTTGGAAAAATCCAAATTTGCCTCTAAAACCCTTAAAAATCCTTCTGAAACTCTCAATTTCCTCTATTCTTCCACAATTTTTGGCTCTCTTTTTCTCTAACACTCTCTCATTGCCTCACACTATTTCTCCTAGATGCTCCAATGATCATTCGACTTGTCACCATTCTAATGTCGTGGTCCACCACGACGTCATGGGCTGTGAATCCGTCAAAAATTTCGAATTTTGACGAAAGTTTTGGGCGAATTTCTGGTGGTATGTGATACAAAAAGTACCGTAACTCGGTCAATTTTCGGGCAAAACCAAAAATTTTTATATTTTTGGAAACTACAGATTATGGCGGTCAAAATGAGTACAACCACAAATAGGTTTAAAAAAATTTAGTTGTTTAAAAAAAGGTTTCAAAAATTGTTTTTTTTTTAATTTTCGAAAAATTTCAAAATTTGTTTTTTGGGGCTAGTTTTAAGTGCATTCCTGCTGGTACCTATAGTACATAAATTCCATGAAATTGAACATGGAATGAGCAATAAATCAAACGGGTCTAATTGGGTTTGTTACACTTTTTCGAAAATTTTCGAAACACATTGAAAGGAGGAGATCATGCAATTAAAGTGATTTGTGATCCAAGTGTCTCATGGGACATATCAAGAAAACGAGTGGAATTATGTGAAAATGGACCAGAAATTCAGAATTTAGGGAAAAAATTGGACTAGAAAATGAGAAAGTGCAAAATTTAGGACCCCAAGAAAAACAAAAAAAAAGTATTTTTTTCCAAAAATTCAAATTCCCGCCCAACTATTCAAATTTCAAAATTTCCGATTTTTCCAGGTGCCGGACCAATACCACGACAAGTCGAGTGTTATTCATGTATGTCACTATCTTATCAGACAAGTTGGAAATATCTCCAAGCCACCTATATTTATCCAAAAGTGAGTTTTTTGGAAAATTCCAAAAATTGAAAAACAAAATTGTTTCGGAATTTTTTTTCAAAAATTTTTTTATCTTTTTAAAACACATTTCTAAATGTGAAAAACGCTGAAAAATCTGAAAATTTACTTTTTTTTGTCTGAAAACTGCTCATTCACCCTTAAATTCCAGGTTTTCACCGATCGCTGCCGTGACCCGAACAGCGAGCGTGGAATGCCTACAGTTATGTGCAGCAGTGTATGTGTGTCGTTAATGGAGCCAGATGTGGAAGCTGGTAAGCATTTAAACTCAAAAATCTTGGAAAAGAGCAAAAAATTACTGAAAATAGTGAAAAATTGAGCAAAAACGGGTGAAAATGAGCTGTGTTAGGTCAAAATGTGAATTTATGAAGAAATATTTACTAAAAATGATTTTTTCAGTATTATTTTGCATTTTCCGGTTGCTTTAAAGTCCAGATTCAAAACTAACTCAAAAAATGAGTCTTTATGACATAAATCTAGAGTTTTTGAAAAAAGTTTTTTTTTTCAATTTTCCAAAAAAAATGTTCCAGGAGTCTTCATCGGATTCAAACACATACGCGGATGTTTGGATCGTGTCCTGAGGCACGGATTCAATCAATCAGCACTCAGAACTCATCGATTTCATCAGAATGTGAGTTTTTTGAAAATTTTGAAAATTAAAAAAAAATATGAAAATAATTTCTTTTTAGTTTCAGCTATACAAAAAGTACCGTAACTCGGTCAATTTTTGTTCGAAAATGGAAATTTTAATATTTTTGAAAATAACAGATCAAGACGGTCAGAATGAGTATAAACACGAATAGGTTGAAAGAAATTTGATTTTTGGAAATTTTCGGCGTGAGGGCCTAAAAGCCTAAAAGTGAGTGCCTAAAAGTGTAAAACTACCGTAACTCGGCCATTTTTTCGAAATTTCAAGAAAGTTCCCTAAATTGAATTTCCCCGCTTTTTCCGAATTTCTTATTTAAAATTCTCAAATTCAACGTCTTCTACTTCAGAATCACTGTCGAACGCTGTCTCGAAGTGCTCTATTCAATCCGGCCAGGACCACAGATCCACCGGCTCTCGGCGACGTCCAATTGTGCTCGTGTTACGGTGATCGATGTAACAACAGTAATCCAATGATGACGTCATCAATCGTTTTCATGATCATTCTCATGATTTTTGTACATTGGGTCATTTGAAAAAAAAAACAAATTCCCGCCAAATTTTCTTTATTTCCCCTTTGATCTCTTTATCATTTTATCCCTCCCTATATGCCAAACAAATACCCCATCTAGACAAATTCTTTGATATTTTGATTTACGGGTTTTCTTCAAATTTTTTATTTACAAGATTTATAAAAAATATTTTAATAAAAATTTAATTTTTTTTTTGACAAAAAAATGAAATTATTGTTTTTTATCGACTGGAACTGTTGCGTCGTGTTGTTGGGGTTGATTTGGTGGTTGTTGGGGAATGTTGTCTGAAAATTTGAAATTTTGGAATATTTAAAAAATTAAAATTAAAAAAAAAATTTTGCGAATTTTTTTTCAACTTTTTTAAGAGTTTACAAAAAGTACCGTAACTCGGTCAGTTTTCGTTCAATCTCAAAAGTTTTAATATTTTTGGAAATAACAGGTTAAGTCCTTCAAAATGAGTATAAAAAGGCTAGGATTGAAAAAATTTCTATTTTTATGATTTTCGTGGTGGGACCCAAAAAATATAAAACTACCGTAACTCGGCCATTTTTAAACCAAATCGAAAAATTTTTGTAGATTCAAGTTTGCCTTGTTAAGACCTTCGAAATGAGTATAAACAAGACTAGGTTTGAAAGAAATGATTTTTTTAAAAATTTCCAAAATTTGGAAAAATCCCCAACCTTTTGTAGTTTGTGACTTTTTCCAGTCCTGCACACGTGCACCTCTTCCAGCACCAATCATATTTGATCCAGGGATGTGTTCGGGAACATTCCGTTGGGTCGGTACAGTACCATTATCGCTGAAATTTCAATATTTTTTAATTTTTTCAAATACCGTGAAACCTGTAATAGAAGGGCCCGCCCAACACTGTCAAGTTTGAGCTCAATTATCTCAGCTCCTATAAGAGATATCAAAAATGTGTCAACTGATAAAATGTAGGGGATATTATTATAAACAATTTATCAGTTGACAAATTTTTGATATCTTTATCAGGAACCGAGATAAATTGTCTCAAAGTTGACGGTTTGGATGGCGCTTTTTGAAAAAATATTCAAAACTTTAGACAAATCAAAATTTGTACATTTTTGAGTATTTCAAACAATTTAAAATACATTTATCAACCTAAAAAATCAACATTTCAAAATAATTTTGGATTACTGTACCTACCCAACATTGCCACCACTATCATAACTGCGCCCATCACAATGATAATGTAGGAGAATGCAAAAAGTCAAGTTTGAGCTCAAATATCTCAGCTCCTATAAGAGATATCAAAAATGTATCAACTGATAAAATGTATAGGATATTATGATAAACAATTTATCAGTTGACAAATTTTTGATATCTTTATCACGAACCGAGATAATTAAGCTTAAAGTTGAAAATCAGGGGGGGGGCCTTCTATTACAGGTTTTACTGAATTCCAAAAAACTTACTCCATAGTTTTTAAAACAGCTGAAATTGGTTGAAATAAGAGAATTGTGATAAGAAAAACGACGAGTAGAGAAAACGATTTCATTGAGAAACGACCAAAAAAGTGGGCGGAGCCTAAACAAAAATTGTTCGTTATCGAGAAAATTCGAAAAACCAATGACTAAGAAAGTTGTTGATTCTATTGGTCATAGTGTGAATAAACAAAGGGGAAATGGGGTGATTCTCTATGGAGCGCGTTTGCTTTTTGGAGAGACGCAGAGAAATGGGATTAAAAACAGGGGTAAACAGGGAAAGAAGAGGACTTTGAGCCTTGGAAAAATAGGAAAATAAGAAAAAAAGAAGTTCAGAAATTCCAAAATTCCAAAAAATAAAAATCCGAAATGCAAAAATTCCAAAGAATTCAGAAATTCAGAAATTCAAGAATTCTAAAATTCTAAAATACATTAAAAATTAAAAAAAATTAAAAAATGTGAAGCAAATGAAAATATTTTTCACCATAAAAAAAGCGATAAAAAGTTTCCAAAATGAAAAAGTTTTGAAATTGAAAAACATGTTTTGAATAATAGATAACAATGTGAAAGTGCAAAAATGAAAACATTTAAGAATTTGTAGAATCTTTCAACTTTTCAAAACCTCAATTTTCTTAACCTATGCCGGGTCCCGGATCCTGGATTCCGGATCCTGGATCCCGGATCCAGGATCTTGAATCCTGGATCCTGGATTCAAGATCCTGGATTCCGATCCCGGATCCCGGATCCCTTCTCCGGATGCTCGATTCCGGATGCTGGATTCCGGATCTCTAAAATTCCGGATCTCTAAATTAAATAATACTTGAACTTAAAAAAAAGTTCCTTTTAGCTCAATTATCTCGGTTCCTGTGAAAGATATCAAAAAATAGTCAACTGATAAAATGTTTATCATAATATCACCAACATTTTATCAGTTGACCACTTTTTGCTATCGTTTACAGAAATTGAGATAATTGAGCTTAAAATCGATGGCCAGGGAGCAATCCTAAAATTTTCAAACCCTCAATTTTGTGCTTAATTATCTCAGTTACTGTGGGAGATATCAAAAAATGATCAACTGATAACATTTGTATCATAGTATTGCCAACATTTTATCAGTTGGCAGATTTTTGATATCTCCCAAAGGAACCGAGATAATTGAGCTCAACGATAATTGACTTTTTGAATCGAATTTTTCCAGCTCGACATTGGAATCTCTGACGCCCTGAACTACATTGTCCAGCACTTCTATCAAGGACCCTTGGGTCTCTGGGTCCCTGGGCCTCTTTTTTTCTAATAAACAATTCAAATTAGTCACATTTATTCATCAATTTTAATCATTTTAACCCGTTAAACAAATTATCTGAGAATTCACAAAAATGTTAAAATTCAAAATTTACAAAAAAAAACTGCTTTCCAAAAAATATTTAAAAAATCAATACTTCTGATACTTCCTTTGTTTTTTAGGCTGCAATTGATACGGTAGATCATGATCTCTTAGTGTATCTCGAGTCAACCGGTCCCGATGATGTCTTCTAGGCGGTTCTTCAACGTAAATCTGAAAATTCGGAAAAATCAAATTTCTTCAAACCTAGTCTTGTTTATAGTCATTTTGACCGTCGTGACCTGTTATACTCAAAAATATTAAAATTTTCGCTGTGGAACGAAAATTGACCGAGTTACGGTACTTTTATGTAAAAATGCAGCATTTTTTTCTACAGTAATCCGAAAAAAACTTACAATTTTCACCTCTTTTCGTCGCATAAAAACGAAATACAGTGAGAAACAAATGGCAAAAAGTTGACAAAGGACGACGGCAAAAAATACAATCAAAGTGACCGAGAATCCGATTCGAAGAGCAATCATGATTCTGAAAAATTGAAAAAAAAATTTTTTTCGAAATTTTTTATTTAATTCAGAAATTCAGAAATTCAGAAATTCAGAAATTCAGAAATTCAGAAATTCAGAAATTCAGAAATTCAGAAATTCAGAAATTCAGAAATTCAGAAATTCAGAAATTCAGAAATTCAGAAATTCAGAAATTCAGAAATTCAGAAATTCAGAAATTCAGAAATTCAGAAATTCAGAAATTCAGAAATTCAGAAATTCAGAAATTCAGAAATTCAGAAATTCAGAAATTCAGAAATTCCAAAAATCCGAAAATTCAAACTTCCCGCCTATTTAAAGTAAGATTCTCACCTAAAATGACACCCATCACATCGAATATCACAAGATCTTGGAATGTCCTGCCGGAACATCCGAAAATCTGAGCAACCGGAATTTCCACAGCATCGAAATGTAGTTTGTAGTTTGTCTAGAGCCTCCTGGACCACGCCGGGTCCTTGATAGTAGTGCTGGACCATGTAGTTCAGGGCGTCAGAGATTTCGACGTCCAACTAGAAACATTTTTAGATACCGTAAGACCTGTATTAGAAGGGCCCTTTGTGAAAAAGAGGCCCCCTACTTCAAAATGCGATTTTTTGAAAATTGTGATTCCAAACATGTTTTAAAATTTTTTTTCCGTTTTTTCGAAGTTATTAAAGAATTGAAAATAGAGCATTTTAATGTACCCATGTACCCAGGGACCCAGGGACCCAAAATCCTGGCTCTCTACTCTACTCAGGACAACCAGAAAATATTAAAAATTGAGAAAGTTATGATTTTTTGGAATTTTCAGTTTTTTTGGAATCCGGAATCCGGAATTCGGAACCTGGGTCCTGGGTCCTGGGTCCTGGGTCCTGGGTCCTGGGTCCTGGGTCCTGGGTCCTGGGTCCTGGGTCCTGGTCAAATTTGGAAAATTAAAATACCTACCCCATCTTTTTTATACAACAAATAAATTCCACAGCTTAATGTCGCCACAAAAAGCAAAAAAACGACCATCGAATAAATGACTAAGAATAAACGAGACCTTCCAGTAATTCCACAGCATCCTGAATAGTTAAAATTCTCCGTACACTGTCAAGAGTTTGAGCTCAAATATCTCAGCTCCTATAAGAAATATCAAAAATGTGTCAACTGATAAAATGTATAGGATATTATGATAAACAATTTATCAGTAGATCACTTTTCAATATCTCTTACAGCAAATGAGATAAATTGGCTCAAAGTTGACGGTTTGAATGGCGCTTTTTGAAAAAATCTTTTAAAAACTTTAGATAAATCAAAATTTGCACATTTTTGAGTATTTCAAAGAAATTTAAAATACAACATTTCAAAATGATTTTGGATTACTGTACCTACCCAACATTGCCACCACTATCATAACTGCGCCCATCACAATGATAATGTAGGAGAATGCAAAAAGTGTTGGCGCTTCCCAAAATGCATTTTCCACAGCTTGACGGTATCTGAATTTTTTTTAGTTTGAAAAAAAAATAAGTTACAGTAAACCTTTCTATAACGGGTGCCCATCTATTACAGGGGGGCCCTTCTAATACAGGGTTTACGGGTAATTTCGAAAAAAAATTTTCTGAATTTTCTAGTTTTTTCAGAGTTCAAATGATCTATTCAAAACCAATTTCATAGGGGTTTTCAGTAGATTTAAAACAGTATTTCAAAAAAAGAATTAATTTTAAAAAATTACCTCTCACTAATAAAATTTCTAAATCGACTATCGGTTCTCAGCCATATTCCCATGGCCAATAATAGTCCACCGACAACCATAAAAACGATATTTGCAGTAAAAATGCCATATTTTGCCCATGTACCACATCCAGCACGATCTCCATACTCCTCGTCGGTGATACTGAAAATTTTTTTTTTGGGATTTTTTGAAAATTTGAAAAAATCAAAGTTTCCAAACCTAGTCGTGGTTATACTCATTTTGAAGGTCTAAACAAGTAAAACTTGAATCAGGAAGGATTTTTCAATTTAGTTCAAAAATCGCTGAGTTACGGTAGTTTTACACTATTAGGGTCTCACCACGAAAATTTCCAAAAAATCAAATGTATTTAAACCTAGCCGTGTTTATACTTATTTTGAACGTCTTAGTTTGGTAATTCCAAAAGTATAAGAATATTTGAGTTTGAGCGAAAATTGACCAAGTTACGGTACTTTTTGTATAGCATTCAAAATTCGGATTTTCCTGAATTTCCAAAATTTCCGAATTTCTCACTTTGTATCAGTTGTATAAGTGTACATATCGCTGGAAGCCTTTGTCCGCGTGGACCGTCCCGTATGAAATGATGGTGGAGGTACTGGTGAGTACACCCGTCGATGATCCTCTTTGTAGTATGGCATCTTTTGAATCGGAAAATTAGAAAAGAATACTTTAATAGAACGCCGGCCGGACCGTCTACTTTGAGCCTAAATATTTAACTTCTTTTGAAAGATATCAAAAAGTTATCAACTGATAAAATGTTTATCATGATATCAGCAACATTTTATCAGTTGACCACTTTTTGATACCTCTCACAGAAAATGAGATACATGGGCGGGCTCAAGTGTGTCGATTCGGTGAATAATCCAAAGTTCAAAAAAAAGTACAAAAAAAAGAAAAACAAAGTAAAAATAAACTATAACATACTTTAAATAAAATTTTGCAAATTCGATTTTTTTTCAATTCGAAACAATTATTTAAAAAAATCGATAAATATAATGAAAATGCATGTGAGTCATATAATACTGCGGCCTCCCAGCTGAGATGGTGCTGTATGTATGTGTATGCAAATAGATAGTATGTCCCCTCCCCAGCCGAAAGAAGAAAAAGAAGAAAATTCATTATTTGTTTACTTTTAGGGAGAGAGAGAGAGTGAGGGAAAAGGAGAGGAGGAAAAGAAAAAGAGGAAAATATGATCGGTGGGAATTGTATCCCTGGGTTGTGGAGAATGTTTGAAAAATTTAGAAGTTCAAAAATTCAGAAATTCAGAAATTCAGAAATTCAGAAATTCAGAAATTCAGAAATTCAGAAATTCAGAAATTCAGAAATTCAGAAATTCAGAAATTCAGAAATTCAGAAATTCAGAAATTCAGAAATCCAGATACTCAGAAATTCAAAAATTCAGAAATTCAGAAATTCAGAAATTCAGAAATTCAGAAATTCAGAAATTCAGAAATTCAGAAATTCAGAAATTCGGACATTCAGAAATTCAGAAATTCAGAAATTCAGAAATTCAGAAATTCAGAAATTCAGAAATTCAGAAATTCAGAAATTCAGAAATTCAGAAATTCAGAAATTCAGAAATTCAGAAATTCAGAAATTCAGAAATTCAGAAATTCAAAAATTCAGGAATTCAGAAATTCAGAAATTCCAAAAATTCAGAAATTCAGAAATTCAGAAATTCAGAAATTCAGAAATTCAGAAATTCAGAAATTCAGAAATTCAGAAATTCAGAAATTCAGAAATTCAGAAATTCAGAAATTCAGAAATTCAGAAATTCAGAAATTCAGAAATTCAAAAATTCAGGAATTCAGAAATTCAGAAATTCCAAAAATTCAGAAATTCAGAAATTCAGAAATTCAGAAATTCAATAATTCAGAAATTCGGACATTCAGAAATTCAGAAATTCAGAAATTCAGAAATTCAGAAATTCAGAAATTCAGAAATTCAGAAATTCAGAAATTCAGAAATTCAGAAATTCAGAAATTCAGAAATTCAGAAATTCAGAAATTCAGAAATTCAGAAATTCAGAAATTCAAAAATCTGAAAACTTGAAAAAATATTTGAAAACAGAAAAAGTGCCTAATTCCAAAAAGTTGAGGATTGAGAGGATTTTTGAAAAATCAGAAATTCAAAAATTATGAAACTCGGAAATAAAAATAGAATTCCGAAACTTTAAAGTTGGAGAGAAAATAAAGAATCTATGTTTTCTGAAAATAAAAATAAAAATAAAAAACAATTGATTTTGTACAGTACAAAAATACATGAGGAAATCATTGCTCATCCTTAATTCTTCCTCATTTTTCTTGTTTTCAGAAGATAAAGAGGGCCAGACACCAAAAAAAAGTTTTTCTGATATTTTGCATAGAGAACCCCCATGAGGGGTTGAACTTATGGCAGGCAGCTCAGGGGTTCAGCGCCGCTACCGGTTGAGCTACGGGGGCGCGAAGGCGCCTGCCGACCGATGACCTACATAAGCGCAGTGCGATTTCGTCCCCCGAACTGTCCCTCGAAATTTTTGCTGTCTCGCCTCCTTTAAGAAACTTCTAAAGTTTATTATTATTATGTTTTGTCTTCAGATGATGAAATTCTCCTAATCTCAAGAAGGTGTCAAATTCTGACGAAACTCCAAAAATTAAAATGTTATCAGTGATAAAGTCTGAAAAAATAAACTGGAAATTATTTCGTTGAAAAAAACCTGTGAATATTTTTGGCATAAAAAGAAGAACTTTTTTTATAATTTTAAACTCAAAAATTCTCTGAAATTGATTTGTTTTATTTTTTAAAAATTCCATTTTCCAGGTTTTCCCCAAAGATCCAAGTCCAGTCCACCAAAATGCACCACGACGAAGCCATCAATCTGTACAAATGCTTTCAAAAAACTCAAAAATCCAAAAATTCCGATTCCAAGGACTCCAGAAAGCCGATGTCTTCAATTTCGAAGTTTCCAGAAAATGCTCGAAATTCGAAAAAATCTCAAAAAACTTTTTTGTGATTTTTTGAACTTTTTGAATTAATAAAGTGTTTTATTTTTGAAAAAAATGTTATAAATTAAAAATTACAGGAAATTTAAAAAAAAAAAAATGTTTTCAAAAAAATTATTTCACCACCATTTGAATTTCAAGTGCAAAACCATCATTATCGTATTCGAATCCATAATCCAAAACGTGGATTTTCACACTTTCCGGCTGAATTTTGATTCCAGTCGAGTAGCTTAAACCAGTGCCAATCTGAAAATTTTCGAATTTTTGAATTTTTTGAATTTTCAGCTTGAATACTGGAATTCTCTGAAATTTTCTAGACATTTCTAGACGTTTCTGAAATTCAGTAGAGTTTTCTGAAGTTTTCTGGAATTTTCTAGAATTTCAAGATATAAAAAAATTTCGAATATCTGTATTTCTAATTTTTAGAATTTCTGAATTTCTGAATTTCTAATTTTTAGAATTTCTGATTTTCTCAATTTCTGAATTTCTGAATTCCTGAATTTCTGAATTTCTGAATTTCTGAATTCCTGAATTTCTCAATTTCTGAATTTCTGAATTCCTGAATTTCTGAATTTCTGCATTTCTGAATTTCAGAGTTTCAGAATTTCCGAGTTTCCGAGTTTCTGAATTTCGGAATTTTTTAATTTCTGAATTTCTGAATTTCTGAATTTATCGAATTTCGGAATTTTTAACATTTTGAATTTCCGAATTTCCAAAAAAAACTGACAAACCTTGAAATTCTCTCCCTCATAGGCATATCTAACCAGATCAGCATCAATAGAAAACATACATCCCCTCATTTTTCGAAAAATTCAAATTGGCGCCAAAATTTGCCACTGCCAGTCGTTTTGAATGCTCATGATCTCTATGGGAAACATCCAAAATTGCGAAATTCGCCGAAGAATTTATTCCTTCATCAATTTCGAAATTCGAATTCCCGCAAATCATTCCACCGTCGATTTTGTCTCCTGGAACCTCATAGGCAACGGAGTTCTTTTCAGTTTCACACGCTTCGTAGTTTTTCATTTTGCTGGAAATGACTGAAATTTGAAAGTTCTGAAAAACGGGAAAAAATGAGCCATAAAACCAAGAAATTGGACAAAAATGAACAACTTTGAAGGATTTTGAAAAAAATAATAATTCAGAAAAAAAATCCAGAAAAAAACCAAGAAATTCAGAAATTCAGAAATTCAGAATTTTAAAATTTTTAAAATTCCGAAAATCTGAAAATTCAGAATGTCAGAAATTCAGAAATTCAGAAGTTCAGAAATTTAGAAATTCAGAAATTTAGAAATTCAGAAATTCAGAAAATCAGAAATTCAGAATTTTAAAATTTTAAAAATTCCGAAAATCTGAAAATTCAGAATGTCAGAAATTCAGAAATTCAGAAATTCAGCAGAGCCACAAATCAGTAAAAAACTAGATTGATTTGCGCGGAAGGCACACCAGCTAGCTGGTAAACTTACAAATCGCCAAAGCTCATCCAGTTTAGAGTGAATTGAATGTCTTTGGTGGGAAGAGAAAGAAGACGGATGGGCATCAATGGAAATCTGAAAAAATAGAAATGAATGTTGACTAGTTTTTAATGGGGGGGGGGGGGGGGTGACTTCTTTTCAGGAACGAAATACATACAGAGCTAAAAACTAAAATTCCCCAAAATTGGAATAACGGAAAACATAACTCTCTGGTGGATAGACAAGTGAACGATAGTTATTGGAAGACGCGTTAGGGGAATCACAAGACACAAATGACCTTGATTACATGGGACAGAGTGCAAATGTGCTCCACGGAAACTCCGCCTACTGAGTGTCCCTCAGGGAAAGGTCACCAAGAACACAAGAACAAACTTATGGGGATGATGATTCAAGAAATTGGGACAGGAGATCAGAAAATCGAAGTCTTCTATTCTGAAATTTCCAGAGAATTTTGAAAATTCAGGAAAATTTCGAAAAGATTAGAAATACTTTTTTTTTACTGCAAATTATAAGTTTTTTAGATTTTCTGGAACTTCGGAATTCCTTTTTTCAGAATATTGTTTTTGACATTAATGCACCTTCGGTCCCATTTTTTCATTGGGTCAGTTTCCCCAAAAAAAAAAAGTGGGCGGAGCTTCAGATTTTCAAATTCTTCAAGAAGCAGGGAAAAATCTCGTGTTCATCGTGGGAAAAAATGTTTTCATGTCATTCCAATCAAGCAGAAAAAAAGTCATGTGAAGTACATTTTTTTTGGATAAAGTTTTTTTTTATTTGAAATTAAAAAAAAAATATTTTTTTGAGACTCTAAATTATTCAAACTAAGTTTTGAAAGCACTAAAGCATTTGACAGTAACCGCAGCTGCACCAGGAATGATTGCTAATGGAGAAAAGGAAGAAGAGCCACCAAAAAGGTAAAATTCTCTGAATTTTGGTTTCTTAAAATATCAGTTTCTTAAAATTTCCAAAAATCTAGTTTTGGATTTTTTCTAAAATTAAAATTAAAAAAAAATTCTCACACCCTCGAATTTCTAGAAATCTCTGAAATTCCCACGGACCAATCAGAAGACATATGTACCTTCCAGAAAAATTTTATGGAAAAATAATTCTGAAAAATTTTGAAAATTCAAATTTTTCAAAAAAAAAAATTTCTTCGAAAAAAAATTGTTTTTTGGCATATTTCGAAAATTCGTTGAAAAATGCCAAACAGAAAATTTCCTACATTTTTTTTTCTGAAAATCCAAAAAAAAAACTTTTATTGTGCAAATTATAAATATTTTTGAAATTTTCAAATTTCCAGAGTTCCACCAGCTCGAGAAATCAAACTAGAAGAGCGACTAACAACGGAGGACACTTTTCTTTTCAAGGTAATTTTCAAAATTTTAAAAAATTAAAAAAAAAAAAAACTTCAAAAATGTTCCAAAATGTCAAAAATGCATTTTTGTCACTTTGGTGCATTTTTTAGCATTTTCTAAGATTTTTCAATATCTTTCAGAGAGAAAAAATCGATTTTGTGTTTTGCAAATACAAACTTTTGCCAATGAAAACTCCAAACGCTCAATAATTGGAGAAAATGAGAAATGAGCAAATGCAAAGGATGAAAAAAGGGGAAAAAATGGAGGCAAGATTTCCTCATTGACCTAGTTTTTTGAGTCATGACCTAGAATTTTTTAGGTCGTGACCTAGTTTTCATGACCTAGATTTTTTTAGGTCGTGACCTAGTTTTCATGACCTAGATTTTTTTAGGTCGTGACCTAGTTTTCATGACCTAGATTTTTTAGGTCATGACTTAGATTTTTTGGGCCATGACCTACATATTTAAGGTCATGACCTAGAATTTTTTAGGTCGTGACCTAGTTTTCATGACCTAAATTTTTTAGGTCATGACCTAGATATTTAAGGTCATGACCTAGAATTTTTTAGGTCGTGACCTAGTTTTCATGACCTAGATTTTTTAGGTCATGACTTAGATTTTTTGGGTCATGACCTAGATATTTAAGGTCACGACCTAGATTTTTTTTAGGTCATGACCTAGATTTTTTTAGGTCGTGACCTAGATTTGTTTAGGTCATGACCTAATTTTCATGACCTAGATTTTTTAGGTCATGACTTAGATATTTAAGGTCATGACCTAGATTTTTTTAGGTCGTGACCTAGTTTTCATGACCTAGATTTTTTAGGTCATGACCTAGATTTTTTATATCTTGACCTAGATTTTTTTTAGGTTGTGACCCAGATTTTTTGGGCCATGACCTAGATATTTAAGGTCATGACCTAGATTTGTTTAGGTCATGACCAAGGTTTTTTAGGTCATGAAAAATTGTTTTCAGGAGCCAAAACATCGAAAAAAAGGAGAAGATCAAAATGAACCATCCATTTCTGAATCCAAAACTAAAAAATCTGCTGCTGACATCTGAAAATCGGAGGACTGAAATTTTTGGCAAAAAATTCGGGGGGGGGGGG